GATGGTGTGTTTGTTGTTTTTTCACCCCCCCCCCCCCCCCAACCACCCCAGAAAGGTGGACGTGTTGGGTTTTGTTTTTTTTTTTTCCAGGCAGATCTTGCACAAAATAAAGTTGGATCGTGTTTCGTGGTAAATCCTCCTTTGGGGGGGGAGAAAACGTAAAATCGGGAAGCGAGCAAAAAATAATGACACTTGAGCAGCAACGGACCTTCTTAGTATTCAACTCTTGCGGATTTATTGTGTTTTGGGTGGGTTTTTTCCTCCCCTTGACTGCGTACATCCGCGTATTTCAAAGAAAAGCCAAATAGAGGTTGCTTTATTAAAAATCCACGCAGCTAATTAATTGTACGTGGGCAGGGGAGAGCCGCTGGCGTGTAACTTGTTCGCTCGGGGTGTGTTTGCTTTTGGAAAAGAGGATATTTTAAAAGGGATCGCGGGGGGGAATATTTGGATTCGTGTTGGGGAGGGAGCACAGCTCTGTGTTTCAGTCTTGTGGTTGTTTTTTTTTTTTTCAATAATAAATATTAAAAAGCTACAGGCGCTGGTAGGCATTTTAACAGGTGGACTTCCCAGCCGTAGGGATTTATTTGGGTTGGGGCTTTATCCTTTCTCCGGCCAATGAGATCTTTTTGCCCTGATGGATTTGACTTGAGATCTTTTTTTCCTTTTGTGTTTCCAAGTATTGGATGGGAATATCTCCATGAACAGCCGTGTGTGTCCTGCATGCCAAGTTCAGGGCAGGTGACTGCTTGGGTGTAATGTCACGCTTGGGAAAGGGGACACACACACGCGAGTATCAAGACTTGCTGGCTGAAGAGCAATGTCTTCGCAGGCGCTCGGCAAAATCACGTTCAATACGAAGAAATTTAAAGATGGAAATAAACTCACTTGGTAGGAATAGTAAATAATGACTGCTGTATCGTCATAGGGGAGCCTGGAGCACCGCACATACTCCCTCCCTGTTAAAAACTAGAGGGGCAGTGACCCGTCAGACTTGTCTGAAATGTATTGGAGGTCTGTATGCATTAGCACACCTATCAAGGGTTTAATTTCTAGGGAGAACAGGTTTGGTTTGTGGGGTTTTGATATCGAACATGCTCCCGACTCAGAGGCAGAGTTAGTGCAGGTCTGGGCTGCAGCCTGGGGGGGAGAAAGTGAAACATGTGGAAAAGCAAAACTGAAATTGAAGATACGTTTTTATTTCTGTCCTAATGGAGCTGTAAAAAGAATATGTGCGCCGTCAGAAATAGATGACTGTTTTGCCAAGTCTCAGTTGCCACTCATTGAAGGTTTAGATATGCCTCGGTGTGTAAGACAATCTATTTAACCTTGTTTTAATAGGTAAATTCAGTTATGATGGTACATTATTAGTAATTCTTATTTTAGCTGGGGTCTCTTTTTGGACATGGAAAGGCAAATAGAGAGCTACGCTGAAAACACATTCTAGAGAGAAAATTATATCTTTGTACTTTGAGAATGGAGGAGATAAAAATCACATTTTGCATGTGAGTCTGCACTCACATACTCTTTTGCTATCACAGTTGATTAGAAAGATAATTATGTATAAATAGTTGTCTCTTGTAATTGGCCTTTGCCTCTTGCTGGAGTCATTCCGTAATGTCACAGTTTAGTGTTTACTGTTGTGAAATTGATATGGATTTCACAGCGGACTGTGACATCTGAGGCAGAAGAAGGAAGCCAAAGAGAAAAGGGTATGCTGTGTCGATTCGTTGGTAACACACCATCTGTTAACGATGTGTGCCCGTACAGTGCTTGTTCTGTCCCAAAAAAAACTTCAGAGCACCTTATCGAGTCGATCAATAATGACCAGATCGAGAGGAAATCCATTCCTGCACTAAAACACAGCTGCCTCTGGGGTGAAATGTGGTGACTTTAAGGCAGCAGCTGTAGATCAGAAGAATATTGTGACCAGCTGGATGTACAGAGGGAAGTGCTAGAGAAGAAACCATGTGTAATCTATATATCTAAGGACCATGAGTCTGTAAGTCATTTAATTCCTAGTTTCCACATACTCACTCCTAGCAGATCCTGGACACCCTTGAGAGGATGAAAATGCAGAGTGTGGTGGGTTGACCTTGGCTGGCCACCAGGTGCCCACCAAGCCGCTCCATCACTCCCCCTCCTCAACAGGACAGCTAATGACCGTGGAAGGCAGTTGGCATAAATCCCATCATTTTCGCCCTGTGAAAGGAGCCTTTACTTCCTTGACGTTGTACCTCAAACTTCACCTTTACCCGTTTCACTCGCTGGGCGTGCTCGGTAGGCAGAGGAACCCTTTGCGTAGCACCTCGTCGCTGACCTCTCCAACTCCCTGTTGTGTTTTTTTTTCTCCCTCATTTTCTTTCCAGGCCCTTTTCTTTCTTTCGCGTCGCTGTGTTCAGCTTGATTCTAGTTTACTTATTGGGTTGTTCCTCCTCTCGTGCCCTCGAGACAGTCGTGCTGTACAAATAAACAGCATATAACAAAAAAAAGTTTGGCTTCCAGCAGACCTTTCTGATCCCGTAGCTGTTTTGTCAGAGGCGCAGGTGTGCTGCTTGCGGGAGGAGGAGCTGCTTGTGCCGCCCTCCGTTTCTGTTGTGCCTTTTAAGTGAATCCCCCAAAGTGCTCTTCCATGAGTTAATCTCTACCTCGCTTTTTGTGAGGCGGGTAAACATAAAAACCAGTTTATGGAGGGAGTAGCTGAGAGCATTGGGAACTGGGAGGGTGTTAAAGGAGTTAGGTGGGGAGGTGGCTGTTTCAAGACACTGAATATATTGTTCAGTCTTGTGCGATTTGCTGAAGGACAAAGCGTGTGCCAGTAGCAGAGTCAGAAATAGCATCCAGGAGAGCTGCCTTTAGAGTTCTTTTTTTTTTTCCTTCGACTTACTATTCCCTCTGTACACACATGTAAACAAAGCTCTGGTTTTACTGAACACCTGCCTGGGATTACTGAAGAGACCTTCACAGGAAAAATATTCTTTTATCTGAAATAGAAATTCAATGGTGAATTTTTTTATTTTTTTTATCCTGTAACATCTCTGAATATGAGATGCTAATGTTTATTCTTAGGGTCATCACAGACGTTAGTTTCTATAGGTGAGTATCCTAAGGTGTCCCTGATCCTCCTTTCTTGGGAATTCAGAGGCCAATGACACCAAGATGAGTCAGTATAGCTGAACGATGCAGCTCTAATGTACATTGCTGATTTTCTGATTGAGGTGAAGTTTGAAAGTTTCCCTTGGTCTCTGGGAAGGTAAAGTTTTCATTATAAATCTGCTTTCCATCTGTAAAGCAAAAAGCCAGATAATTGGCATCTGGTGGGATAATTTGCTGTGAAAATGAACACAGTAATTTAGGGCAGGCGTAACTGTTCCCTAAAATCTGTGAAATATTTGAGCTGAGTCTCTCCAGTGTGAGCAAAGTTGTTTTTTTTTTTTTTTAGGAGGTGCTGATACAGAGCACATTTTCTGTGGTTAATTTGATGTACATGAAATAAACTGCAGATATATTGATAAATTATGTAGTAAAACTCTAGCAATGTGTTCAGTGTTCATTTTTTCCAGATCACTTGAGTTCTAATTTTTTTTATCGTTTTTCATTCCAGATTACCATCATGAGATATATAAGATCTCTGACTACAGCAATGATGTTAATGGGGAGACCAAAGAAACACAACCAGTTTTTTTAGGTATGTGCTTGTGTTGATTAATTTCCGAGCAACATAGCGTGGCCATTTGCAATTAGGGAGGAAAAAAAATCTCTGTGCAAGCACAGGAAGCGCCTGCCATTGTTTAATATGACGTTCTTTTCAAGACCCTTTTATTCTACGAATTGCCAATATATCCTTTATTAACACTGCTAAAAGTTGTAATTTCAGACATAAATGTTTATTAGTGTCTACACACAGTGCTAATTATCACTCACTCAGAGAGCCAGATGCTGACTCTGCAGTTTTGCAGCTCTGTGCTCACCCCATTTACATTGCATATTCGCTGGCATGCTTCACTGGCAATAGTTTGTGTAATTGGGGTATTACATCTTTGACATCTGGATAACAGAAATTCAATTTCCAGGAAGCTGCTATTTGTTTGGTTTTGCTTCTGCCTTGGGTGGGATAGAGGATTAATGTGCTGTCTTAATGTAATGTCCTTTCACCTCTGTAGCCTGCCTGCTAATCCTGCCATGGCAAAATTAAATTAAATCAACAGTTAAAAATGTGTAAAGAAAACAGAGAAGTAATACAGAGTCTGCAGCATGATATATACTACAGCATGATAGGACTGATTATCAGTGAACCTTTATCTTTTCCCATCTGTGTGCTTTCTGTCCCGTATAAGTCCTCAGCTGCAGAGTGCTTCTTCCTTTCCTCCTTCCAGCCCCCTCCCGTCGTATCTAGGACCTCACCTGGGTGCTGCACCTCTTGGCAAAAATTTGGCGGGCCAAATTCAGAGGAGTAACGGCCAGATTTTTGAGCTACAAGAATGACTCTTGCTGTATAAAGCAAGCTCTTGGACACCTTGCTCAGGCTTTCGAGAAAGCAGGTGCCTCTGCAGTGAGAAATTTGGAGGTGCCTGCCTCTTCTTAACTGAACCAGGAGCCTGAACATTTTTGTAGGGTGATTTACGGTTTCTGTACCCTGTGCGTGTTGCCCCCTGGAGCCAGCGAGAAGCATTGGTACCGAGTGTGTGAATCAGCACCTGAAGTCAGTCTGCACGCAAAATGCCTTTGTCTCCTTAGTTCGTAGTGCCACATCCTCTTCTAGAGGTCAGCAGCAAATGGCAGAGAAAAGGAGGACCTCTTGGGCAGTGTGGAATCTTCTGACGGTTGGAATATTTACACGGGGGTGAGAGCTGCGTTAAATTCCCTTCTCAGCTTCTGGCCATTAGGATTTTGAGCAATTATTTCTTCCCTACGCCCATTTCCAGGGAGAAGCGAAGGTGGCTGCTGTGCTTTGTGTTTGGATTTCGTGTTCTGTAAGCACTTTTGGTGAAGTCTGATACACCTGATGGAGTGAGCTCCACCAGAGGTTTACTTCGAATGCCTTCTCTTCCAACCCTAAATCATGATGAAGCTTTGGCAGGAGTTAGGCATCTAGTTGCTTAAGCCAGGATGCTTCTAAGAATGTGCAGGAGTCTGTGCTTTGACATGTGTGCCGCGAGTCAGACCAATTGATTTTGATTTTGGTTTGGCTGTGTTGTCTTTGGGTTTGTTTGTGGTTTTTTTGGTTTTTTTTTTGTTTGTGCCCAGCTTTTCATTGTGACTGGATGTGCTCTGGCATTTAAGTGCCTAAAGTTCACCTTTTCAAGAGCCAGTCAGAATTTAACCTTTAAGAATGTGAGTCCTATCAAGGATCTTCCTTATCAGGTACTGAAGCACAGAGTTGCCGTCCTGGCAGCCCACCTTCAGTTGCTGTGAAAAGAAAAAGGTGCTATTTCCTGGTGAGGTCCTGAGTGTCCAACTTTCAGATTTCCTTAACGCGTGTTGGTTTTGACAAGACTGAATGATGTATGACCATGCACGATTTGTAGGCTAGGCTGTTTTTTTTTTTCTTCCCTTGGGGGCTGGGTTCAATTCAGTAAGTTACTCGGAGCTCACGTAACCTTCTCCACTTTATTTGCGATAGGTTACTTTGGTGTCCCCTTTTATCCAGATTCCTGGTGACAAAGGCACTAATCTGA